ATATTCTCCATACTGTTCTCTATACATTTCCTAATGTGCTGGCAAGGAGAATTTATTTAACAATCAAGAGCTTCCTCAGTTAATTATCATTTCCTTTATTCTCATGACCCTAATGTTTGATTCATGGGTGATATTGAAAGGAGAAATTAGATACTGGTCACTCTATGGCAAATGCATGTGTGCCACAACAGCCTTACCTATTTTGGTTTTGAGGGTTTCTACAATTTTATTTCCAGTTAATCAAAACTATAATAAAATTCTAAAACATGATTGGTTATCACCAGCCCAATTTGAGCACCAATAGGACAGTCTATGCTTGTAATTGGACAGTGTAATAGGACAGTTGACTCATCATGCTTGTGTACATGGACCAAAAGCATCGTTTGTGCTAACTGTTGTCATGCATTTCATGGAGTTAACAGTTGTTTTCTTATAAAAACATATAACAAATGTCTAGTTTCTTCCTCAAATGTTGTTGCAATTTTGATTAATTGGTAACAGGACTTCTTGTCATCCAATTTCTCTGTAATCACACTCGCACTGACAACTTGGACTCTCGCTTTGTTGTCATCCAATTTTGTTACTCACTCGTATGATACCAGAATGAATTGGACTCCACCCAGTCATACTACCATTATTAATAAGACTCAAGAATAAACAAACTTATCAGCTGGAGAGTGTAATCTTGCTATAAAAAAGACCAAATTCTTTCAGATGAATTACAGTAAAAATTTAAGCAGTTAGGAAAGAGAGAATTGACAGCTTAACAGGGGGCAGAGCAGCAATCTCTTGTGAGCAGAAACAGGATTTCAAAATAACATATCATTCCACCAACCTACACTCCTGAGGAAAACACAGCACAAAATTTCCACAGGCCACACAAGCAGCTGAAGAAGAAGCAATGTCATTATGAACTGTTATTTAAACTGTGATCAGTCACTATGTGTCAAATGGTAAATTTAAGACAAAAACATGCTGAGTGCATAGTTTGTTAAAATCAAAATTCAAAAACTTCAATTGAATGAATTGAAAAAAAACATTTAAAAAAGGCAATGATAATTCCTGGAAACAACAGCATTCACACCCTTACATAGATACAATAAAGATAAATTAACCATGTCTTGTCAAATGGATTTCAAAAATTCAAAGATCAATGAAAATTACACTAAAAAACTTTTAAAGAGTTTCTCTCAAATCAATCCCATTGCTTCACTTCTAGCCTGTATCAACACGACAAAGCACAAAACTTACCATCCCTAACAGGCCAACTGTCATCTTTGAAACAAAACACCAAAGCCTGAAGAAGTTCTGACACATGTGACCTTAAACTGTCTTGGCTAACCTATTAGAAATCAAATGGACAAAGGAAACTTTTTTTTTAGGAAATTATCTCCAGTTATCTATTAAGATCAATAACTGAAAGTCCAGCATACAACCAGAATAATTATAGAATTTACATGTAATTGTTTGGAGGGTTTGTAAACCAACCTTAGTCCCAAGTTCAGCTATGCAGGCACAAGCTGCCTCTCTGACAGCATGGTTGTCTGCCTTGGTTTGACTTATATAAAATTCAACCTAAGTGACGATAATAATATATCAAGCATCATATCAGCATTTATTTAACACTTTCACTCTCAGATCTGAAATGTTTTTCTCCTAACTGGTGACCATACATTTTTTCCTTTGGCCATTTGTAAGAATTAAATTATGTCAAAACAATGTCTCAAACATGATAAATTTCCCAGTTCTTACACCTGTCTGATGTTTGATGTATTAAGATAATATTAACATTTTAAACTCAACTTCGTACTTTGCACTAATTTCAACTGTTGCTATCAACAACACTCAGTCTGATGTCTTTAAACATAAAAAATGTTGCCTTTTTCTTAACCATTTACACTCCAACATCAGTATGCATATTCTCCATACTGTTATCTAAACATTTGCTAAGGATTTGACAAGGAGAATTTGTTAAACAATTGAGAGCTTCTTCAGTTGAGATCATTTCCTTTATTCTCATGACCTTAATATATGATTCAGGGGTGATACTGTAAGGAGAAATTAGATGCTAGTCACTCTAATGGGGTAAAAGGATGACAACTTCCCTACATAAATATTTCTTAATTCAAAATAAAATCCTTTTTACTCACTGTCTCTGTGATGTATTTTTCCACCAAATGCTTTCCTTCTGTTCCAACTATCATTTTCCAGCTTTGCTGGGAGTATATTCTAACCCCTTCTGCCACATAATACCTTTTAAAAAAAGTGATTTCAATTCAGCTACATAATTGGGAATATTTATTTACAATCCTGATGTCAATAGATTTAAAATTGAAATGTTAAGATGTGTTAAGGTAAAAGTTAACTTTTCATTTCATATTGCATTCAACTTCATCAGCATTGTATTTTTCAGAAACAATAATTTGCTCGATGAAGAATCAATTGATTCAAATCAGGAATTATTCCAGAAATTATACTTTATGGTCTAACCTGTTCAGACACATGGCTGGTAGTACCTTGGGGAAGAACCTCTCTCTTGATTCTTTATTGGGCAGAGTCTGAAAGAACTGCCGCGTGGCTACAGAGGCTGCTAACCTTACCTGTATTTCAAATGAAAACAGATGTTATGAAGTATAAAGTATGACCAGTATTTAAACACAACAGTCTCAGGAAATTATGCAGCAAAGTAAAGTGAAAGTCAAACAATGTATTAAATGGTTGTTTGATTTCATACAACATCAACAACAAGTCACATTACCATCACAGCATCAAGCAGACAAGTCATAAGAATATCAAAAAATATCAATTAGGGGATAAGTTGACCCAATACCAAACTCTCTGAACTAACATCATGAGAATTGTATGGCAGACAGTAAGGAGAATTCCTAAGAAATTTTGGATAAATAACACCATTCTAACTATGGAACTGAGGAGCTTTCAGTATACAGCATGTATGTAATGAATTATGGTTCTTAGTGTTTTTTTTTTTTTTTGTTATCTTTCCATGAAAAGCAAAAATAATCTTCCCCTTAAATTTCCTTTGAAAATTTTCTTCCAGATTATTATAATCTGGGACAAAGGATGAAAAAGAGAACACTTCAACTAGTGATTGAAATTTCAACCAATGTAAGTAAAAATCTGAACTACATCACTATCCTGAAAAGGGATATTATTAAATTAAAATCTATGTGTTGCACAAGTAATCTGTCAACATACTTGGCTCCAGTTGTCAGACAATCCTTTTTTCAGGTAATCTGAAAACTGATCTCCATGTTTAAGTATTGCATTTTCTTTAACATCTATCATGACAGACTCTGTACCCTCAGACGACTCATCTGCAAAAAAGTGCACATTTTGAATTGTATAACTCAAGAACTAAACGAAGAACACTGCTGCATTATATACTTATGAATAGGGAGAGAAAATAAATTTGACAGGTCTCACCCAATAAACCCCAGATCAAATTTGTAATTCTTCTTACTGTCAACCATACAGTTCTTATAATGTTAGTTCAGAGAATTTTGTATTGGATCAACTAATTATCACCACATTGATATTTTTCTCTATTCTCATCACTTATCTAGTTGATATTGTATTGATATTGTAAGGAGAAATTCTGTTTTGGTCACTCATGGGAGTTAAAGGGTTAAATGTGATACCTGATTAACCTCAAATTAATACAGTATTTTAAAGAAAGGCAAGGTAAGGAGAGATTTGATGTTTTCCCCTATAAATTTGACATGTGAAGTACTGTTTAAAGTGCACATGATGAGTCAATTTTTCTAACATTTGCACATAAAACAGGATCAGGACCCCCCCCCCTCCCACTTTGCTACCCTCTCAAGGCCTATGCTTTACAACAGGAGAAATGATCTTACATAAAAACTATAGTTGCGTTATTAGAAAGATAAAGAAAAGATGATTGAGAAGGGGGGGGGGTCATACATGACAAAACATTCTCTAAATCAATAGCCTACACATGCATTTTCAAAGATCACTTGCAGCCACAATGGACACTTTTAAGATTCCAAAGAGATCTGATTGTACCAAAGAACTTCGGAAAGGACAATTTGGTAAATTTGGGTAGGAGTAATCCAAATGTTCTTTGTTTAGTTTGCAATGATCCTGTTTTATGTGCAAATGTTAGAAAAATTCACTCATCATCTGCACTTTAAACAGGATCAGGACTCCCCCCTCCCCAACTGTTTTACAACAGGAGAAATGAGCTTGCATGAAAACTATAGGTATGTTACTAGAAAGATAAAGAAAAACTGATTGAGAATTAATCCAAAAAGATTCCTACCTTGCTTTCTTCCAAGGCTAACAAGTGATGCACAGAGTTGATAACCTGTCTCTCTCACAAATCTGTTTGTATGGTTTAATGCTTGAAATATCAGATCTAGAAGGTCCTGAGTGATGTATTCATTAAAGGCTCTTCCACATCCTTCTATCACTGATTGAAGACACCTAAAACATAAAGTATCTCAGCCACCTTTCTTCTGTTTACCACGCTTGGTTAGCTTGCATTATAGAGCGCAGGACTGGCATGTGGAGGTCAAGGGTTGAAGCTCCACACCAGACTGACATGCAAGACCAAGGGTCTTAAAGTGACTGAGGAGAATGCACTACCTTTGCCTTAATAAGAAGATAAGCTGTAGGCCCTGTCTCCTGTCTCTCCTCTGTACTGGTTAGCAGAGGACATTAACCCTTTAACTCCGAGAAGTGATTAAAATGAAACTTCTTGTTATAAAATCCTCACATCATCCAGCAAACAGCTTATGAGAATACTCAAACTTATCAAGTAGAAGTTGTTATCTTGATCTAACACCAAATTCATTTAACTAATTTACAAGGAAATGTGTAACAGCTTGAGGGGAGAATTACCATCAAGATCTTGGGAGTTAAAGGGTTAAAAACCCACATACTTCTCGTAAAGAGTAGGGAACATAGTCTCCGGTGTTGTGGTCTGACCTTGTCATTGCTTACACAAGCTCCCATTTAAACCAGCTCTGAGCTGAACTGAGCCAGCCTGTCTAAATATCACAAACACACACAAAGCACTATAGGCAGTTACTATATTTTTGTTAATAAAACTGGAGTTGATAGCATGTGACAAACCTCATGCTTGTCTCCAAATGTTTCCATCCAGCAGTATCATGAAATATCTGTGCAGCATCTGTTTTTTTGTGCTGAAAAATCCAAATAATATTGTACGGAAAAAATGTTGAGACAAGAATACTGCTAGTGATTTGAGTAACATAAAGACAAAATATTATTTCTCTTAGTTGTTGAACAAGAAAAGTTGGAAATTTCTTTTCTATTTTAAAATACGCATCACCATTTTAACTATTTTTGAGCCCCTAAGAGTGACTAGCATCTAATTTCTCCTTACCATATCACCCCTGAGTCAAACATGAAAGTCATAAGAATAAAGGAGATTATCACCAACTAAAGCAGCTCTTGCTTGTTATACGAATTCTCCTTGTCAGCTTCTTTGGAAATGTATGGAGAGCAGTATGGAGAATATGCATGCTGATGTTAGGGGGTAAAGGGTTAAAAGTATTTAGTTATTCACCTTTTCTTCACCTGTCTCCTTTTCACTACCAGTTAATTTATGCACAAGTCCTTCAGCTACTTCTTCAGGGTCAGGCAATCTTCTCTCCAAATTTTCACCCACATTCTTCAAGATTTCATCACAGCAGGCCACAAAAACTCCTGTACCTTTCATTGAACAAAGGGCACCAAGTACCTCTCCTGTAATTTTAAAAAAAAAGGAGATGAAGTTTTGAAATCAGTGCACAGCACTGTGAAAATGAACACAATAAAGTGTATTTTAGAGAGTGGAAACAGATAAAAACGTTATCAAAACTTATTTCATAAATGAACAACAGAGACAACCAGGTAACTTTCCTTTGATATCATTTCAATGTACGTACTTTGACTATCTGAGTTATACGTTACGTAAAAAAAAAATAAACCAAATTATTTAAAAGGTCTCTATGTAATCTATTGCTTAAGTGTCTGCAAGGATGAAAAGTGTCTTTTGTGACTCAGAAAACTTTTAAAGTTGAGGTTACTTATTAATTTAATTTTACGTTGGGAGCTGATCAATATCGTGGCTTTGTCCCATATCCTTTTAAAGGGGGGATAATACGTGGCAAAATATTCTCTACATCAATAGCCTATGCATGCATTTTCACAGATCGGTTGCAGCCACAATGGACACTTTAGAGATTCCGAAGAGATTTGATCGCGCCAAAGAACTTCCAAAAGGACAATTTGGTAAATTTGGGAAGGGGTAATCCCAATGTTCTTTGTTTGGTTTGCGACGATCGTGCTCCTAACCTCTGTAAAATTAGCTTTAATTCTGATTTCACCTGAAGCAATCCTGACCCTCGCTTCGTCATCATGCATTAATTTTAATGCTTTTTTTCTGAGGGTCTCACAAAAATCATCCGAGCCGAGATTGTTCAAAATAAATGTCTTGCTTCCTGTCAAACCACCATGTCGTGTCTCCCAGGCTCCATCCGTCGATGTCACAAGTTCGATCAAAGAGTTTTGCAAATCCTCTACTTGTTGAATATCTGAAGTAAAGTTCGAAGTATCTTTCAGTTTCCCTTCCAAAGCTTGTAGCCCTCTATCTCTTTCTAACTTCACATGGCTACAAAGAAGAGCTAAGATATCACTGACAAATTTGTCCGCCATCTTTGTTTGAAGTATCCAACAAAGGATTGTGGGACCGATGTGTCACTTTTGACTGCTGGGAGGAGAGGGTAAGGATCGTATGGAAAGGTGCATGGTCAGTGCGAGCAACTGCAAGCAAATGCAAGTGTGCAGGTGGGCTTGCGAAAACAAATTCCTCCCCAAGTAAGTCTACATGATCCTGAATTCAAAGTACTTTTCTTCATTATATATATAACAGCATACCTGGACTTAAGGAGAATATGAAATGAAAGAGAGGTGACTGCTGTGTAGCCGCGCCGGCATGCGGCGGCCCGCGTTTTCTCTTCCCGCCTCTTCTTTCTCTCTTCCAGTCACTAGCCAATCAGATGCTTGGTCGAAGATGACGTTCAGCGAGGGGAAAAAAGATTTCGGCTGAGTTCAGAAACTTTTTTTGAGTTTACCTCTCGACGATTTTTTCCGTCGATAATACAGTTTAAATTTCCACTTGCTCGCATTCATGGTAGCAAGGACTCAACATACTATCAGGAAAAAATTGGAAGGTTGAAGACAAACTTCCTCAAAGCAAAAAGAGGTAAGTTGGTTGCCCTAGATATCAGGCGTGCATGAGCTAAGATTTTGCTTTAAAGAGCTGTGAGGATTTTTGAAACGAACCTGTTGTATCTCTGACAAAACTTAGGTCAAACCTCGACCGTCAATTTTCATGCGTAGAAGATTCTTTGTTGCAACCAAGGAATTTATAAAATAGTTAGAGGACAACTTCAAAAGCTGATTATTAAAAGTGAACCGAACTCTTCGTTTCTATAGTGAGCAAGCAAGCTTAAGTACTTTCGTGTATTTTAGATGCTAAGCTCACTTTCGCCTTGTATACTTGTTTTATTGAACCATAGGAGAAAAAAAAACTGGCCATGGCGAATCAATTGTCTGAGTATGAAATTCATCGATTTCACAACATAAAAAAGAACCACGAGTACATGAAAAGTCTAGGTGAGTATTTTATAACTAATATTTCCTTGCCAAAGACATTAGTGTTGATGTTTCTTAAGCCCCGTTTACACCAATAAACTGTTCAGTTTGAAACGTGCATCATCTTTGATGTAAATGGAGCATTTATGAATTATCATGATTTTGGCAACTGCTATGATTGCCTGCTTGAAAAAAACATTTGGCCCAATTTATGCAATTTGGAACTTCCTGTCAAAACCTTTACGAACAGAATACCTCGAGTGACTATACTACTCTCTTGAACAAAATATCTCTCCCTGAATATCATACTCTCTTGGAAAATTGATTTGATTGAGCAGTTAATCAGCCTTAAACATCAGTATCTACTTCCCCTTAGAAAGTCACTCCTTTCCTCAATTTTGAAGATGTAAATTTCTGCCTTGATGCAGTTTTTTTACTGATTTAACTACCTCTCAACCTAAGAATCTAACTATTCATTTTGCATATTTACGAGTCGCTCTTCGTTCTCAGGACTTCCTGTTCCTGTAGTTCCAGCTGGGCTCCAAGGTCGTCCTCGTAGAACGCCGGTAAAAAAGAGTAAAACACTGTATTTCGGCCAAGATGGGGAAAGTTCAAATGAGAGTAGTGATGACAGTGATGAAGATTGGGTTCCAGGGTCAGAAGAAGTCAGACGAAGAAATAAAATGATAAAAAGGTTTATCCCAGGTAAATTTTTTCCTATGTAAATATGTAAATTAACCGGTTGATTATAACTGTAAAATGTAGCGTTTTTGACGACTGGCTGTTGCTTGTGTCGGCGAAAATCGCTAGGTGTGTCTGTTGCAGCAATAGTGATTTCTGGCGATTTCTGCCAATTTCTACCGATCGCCGATATCTGACATGTCAGATATTGACGATTTTTGCTGGCGATAAAATTCGCCACCTTAGGCGAATCTTAAATCGCCAGGTGTGTCACCGGTCTAAGCAACCCTGGGATTTCATACATCAGTATCAGTGATCGGAGAATTCTACAGCCACCCCGCAGAATTTTGCAGCTAAATTTTAGTGGCCTGGCAATTTTGTTCACACGTGGAGAATTTTCACTCATTTTTAACAGTAATTTCAACTTCTTCATTTCTTAATGAGAACCCTGGCAACTGTAGCAACATAATAAGTACAGGTTACTATAATTCACTTCATTTATCAGCACATTCTTTTACTTCAACTGAATTATTTCGTAAGGAGTTATACTTTTTTAATCACTGCAGATTTTCGACCAAAACCTCAAACAGTGCCTGTTCAACAAGGACAGATGGAACTAAAAGTGGTAATGATAGAGTTGTTGCTTAGACTGTTAAAGATTTGCTCAAAAAAAGGCACTTCCGTCGCTTACTTAAGAGGACAAATTTGCTCTAAAAACCGTGTGGTTTTCACATCCATCAGAGTACATAAAGTCCAGCACATCACCGCACTGGCCGCATTTGAGATCTAAAAGATTAAAATAAATTTTTAGAAATTGTCTTCAATGTGCAAAAAATTCGACCGAGGACGCCGTCATTTTTATTCTTGTTTAGCAACGTGGCCACTACGCATGATTTTAAAAAATAGTCTTGCCCCTCTTTCTTCAATCTCTTGGTGATCTATTTGCACAAAAAGGAGGTGCACAAAAGGCATTCGGCGTGACGATAATGATTTTTTGGCCATAACCCGAGAGACAACTATTTGTGAACTACGCATCGTATTTTTGTGCTTATTTTTTTAGTTATCATTCTATTTTTTTCTCTTGGTTTTAGAGCTTGCTTTACCCCCCAATTTGGGATTAAAAGGAACTAATTTTTGACAACTTTTCTGTAGACCATGAAGAGACTGTGTCAACTGTAACTCGTAAAAACGTTAAGCTAATAATTAATCAACTGACAATATTTCAGAGAGAATGACATCGGGCGTAATGCATGATGCCTTTGAAATCGTGAACCTCGCGACGCCACATTTTGCACATTAGATAGGTCATCATTCCGAAAAAGTGCAGAGAATGTTAACGAAAATATTCCTAGAACTTTCAAGACTTAATTCTACTGTGCGATTTGAAATTTTACACTTCTCCGAGAAATTTAGGCTCAATTCCAAACGACGAATACAAGAAATACTTGTGAATAGCGAGATCCCTATATAAAAAGTCACATGAATTCGATTACGTTATACAACAAAAGATATGGTATATGTCGCGGGCAAAATCCTGTTCAACAGAGAGTAAATGTACGTACAACTCAAGTACTGTTCTCTAGTGTTTTGTCTACTTGTTTGATTGATTGTTTGTTTCTTTCAACATAACTACAGGTGGAAGACGAACAGAGTTGCCCCAATAAATTTGAGGAATTAGCTAGGTTAGGGGAAGAGGTAGATTCAATCCCTGACGAAAGTACAGTGATTTCTTTAAAGAAAGTTAAGGAAACGCCACAGAAAATCAAAAGAGCCCAGCCTCCTAAGAAGCGAATACAGTATGCAACACGAGGGATGAGGCACTTGTACTGCGAGGCTGAAGTTCCAGACGATGACCATTATATCTGTAAGTTGAACTACAGTATTTGGTCAGTTTTGCTGATGGTTTATAACTTGAAGTGATTCCTCAGAAAAAAAACGTTATCGAGCAATTTTTCTTATCTTTCCTTAAATGTCCCCTACCATGGTCTGTTTAAAAAAAGATAGGTCACCGTCCTTGTTTAAAAGATATGATGACCAAAACGTACCCTATTAATGCCTACCTTTGCGGTAGCTAAAAGCAAGGGGTTTTAAAATGACATTTGGAAAAAACTTAATAGGTAGAAAGTCCCGGGCACACGGAAAAATTTGATGTGTAATTGTGCAAAAATCACTTAATTTGAACGACATCGACTCAAAACGTTAATCGAGTCGGTGCTCCAGTTCAAGGTTATGATTTGCATCATCGAGTAACGGACTTCGCGCAAGCCTTCAGCTATTTCTTTTCGTCCCTTTTTTTTTTGCTTTATTTTTTTTATTTTTCTAATTTAAAGGGGATGATTCGAAATCTAAAGTTATACATGAAATGAAAAATATAGGTCACTGCGCTCGTTCAAGAGATGAAGATCAACGTTCCTCTTTACCTCGTCAATCGATTGAAAAACAATACCGTGTTCTCGGAATGCGCGCGTGCTTATTTGCATGATTACATAATTTTTATGCGCAGTACATGATTCACAATGCAATACTGAGTAATCACCTTGGCCCAGTTGTAAAGAGGCCGGATAACGCTATCCAACAGATAATCGCTATCCGGCGGATAGGTGATTATTAAACGTATAGCGTTGTCCACCGCATAGCGATTTATCCATTGAATAGTATTATTCAACTTTCGATTAACCGAGGGCTTAGGTACAAAATGCACTTAACACGACCGGCTTTGAATTAAACTTAAATATATGTTTCCGAAATGATTTTTCCCTCTCCGTCGCCATTGAGACAAATTAGTCTTTGTGTCTTTCTGGGAAGACAAACGATTTGAGCAAAATGATGTTTGGTTAACGGAAGTTAAAAGTTAAAGGTGATACACATTGTGAGCGTGTGGTGTTGACCCTTGTAAGATTTGGGTCTCCTTTTCGTAACATATTCGATATTTATTCTCAAATAGAACTTTCCTATCTGTTAACTCGATTTTTTCACTAGTTTGCGAAGAATGTCAAGACCTTCATTATGGTGACTGTCCAGTACATGGGCCTTTGCAAATCATAGCTGACAGGAATACAACAGAAAATTCAAATTTATCGCCTGCAGTCTCTTCACTACCAGTTGTTCTTACAATAAAGAGTTCGTCAATTCCTGGAGCCGGTTTAGGTGTTTTCAGTACTACTGATATTTCGAAGGGAGTACGATTCGGTCCATACAAAGGGAAGAAGATAGGATGGGAGAACATAACTGATGAGACGAACACGTGTTACATGTGGGAGGTAAAGTGATATTCTTCTAAATAGTTTAGCAAATTTTTTTCATCTTTCGATTGATAATCAGATGTTAGATATCTGTTCAAAAGCGGAAAACATGCAGAGTTATAAAGCACTCTAAAGCTAAAGCCAAGAATGGATAGACGGAAATATTTGACAAATATTCACCAAAGTTGAGGTAGCTAGTGGTGGATATTCATCTCGCCGCTTCGCCGCTGGGTAAATATCCACCAATAGCTACCGTCACTGAGATAAATAGTTGTTTCAATGCAGACTAAAACAGAGAGACATTACAACACGAAAAGATGATTTAGCTCATTTATTCCTGGACCGATTAGAACGTTTTGGGCGCAAATTCTGCGCAAGTTACTCAGAGGTGATAAGCAGGGGATATTCGGAGTCTGAATAGCTATCAGAGTAAGCCCTCAACGCTATCCATTGTGTTAGTATACACTAAACTGAGTTACAATCTATCAAAGAGTTTTTCTCGTGTGCGATTGGTCTTAACGCATCACATGGCCGAATATTCCAGCTAACACTGAGGGATGTTCGAGGATATACCACAAGTGTTGTTTTTCCATTTTCAATATTTTAGTCCATTGCAGAAAATTCTGCGTTTAAAATAGACTTCCAAATAAGACAGCGTTGTCTGGTTGTTGAAGAAGAAGAAAAAAGGTAATTTTTAGCGCACAAAATCGTACCAGAGAACACTGAAAAGTGAACATCCCATGCCGTAGACGGTAAGCAGTTCGTTAACATTTTTCCCGCGAATTTCAAAATATTTGAAGCATAGTAAACATAATAGCCTCCATTTGGCACTAAAATGAGCTCGTATAGTTGTCCTTGGACATAATCTGTTCCACGAAGCCCACGGTTTTCCTGGAGCTTCACTCTTGGAAAACTGTTCGCATATCGGAACAGATAATGTCCGCGGACAAATATCCGTGCGTAAGGAAACGGATTCTATTGTATTTTTGCAGATTGTGAAAAGTGGTAAGTTTAGTCATTTCGTGGATGGACACGAAGAAAGTCAAAGCAACTGGATGCGGTTTGTAAATTGCTCTCGCTGCGAGGATGAGCAGAATATGGTGGCTTTTCAGTTTAGAGGCGAGATTTACTACCGTACTTACAAATCAATCAATCCAGGTGAAGAACTGTTAGTGTGGTATGGAGAGAGCTACGCTAGAGATCTGGGGATATCGCTTGTTGATGATCCGGATCGAGGCAGTAAAAAGAGTATGTTAAAAAAAAAGACTATTTGATTAGAAAAAAATAATTACTACCAGTGCGATTCCAAGAGTAAATTTATAGGGAGTTCCAAAATTTACGTTTTCGCACATGCACATCAGAAAACTTTAGCCTCGATAACAAAATGGAAAGAAAGGAAAAGCTACGATGGCCAGGCTTGGCAGCATGCACATAAATTATACACCTGGATTTATTTTGATATTTTTTTTTCTAGGTGTTATCGACCCATGTGATGGTTGTGGAAAGATGTTTACCTCCATAAACTTTCTCCTTAGACACAAGAAATATTACTGTTCAACAAGAACAGAGATAAAAATCTGGCAATGTACTATTTGTAAGAAGAAATTTACGTCATTGGATCATTTCAACAGCCATATAAGTTTTCACGCTAATGAGCAGCAAAATTCGTCTAATACGTCATTTCCTAAAGACAAGTACCTTTGGACCGACGAAGGTAAAAGTTCACACAAGTGTACACAAAGTGGAAAGTCGTTTACCCAGCCTGGTAGCCTGACCAGGCACCTCCGTACTCACACGGGTGAAAAGCCATATCAGTGTACACAATGTGGAAAGTCGTTTAATCAGCCTGGTAGCCTGACCGTGCACCTCCGTACTCACACGGGTGAAAAGCCATATCAGTGTACACAATGTGGAAAGTCGTTTAACCACTCTGGTAGCCTGACCGTGCACCTCCGTACTCACACGGGTGAAAAGCCATATCAGTGTACACAATGTGGAAAGTCGTTTAACCACTCTGGTAGCCTGACCATGCACCTCCGTACTCACACAAGTGAAAAAACCATATGAGTGCACACAATGTGCAAAAAGTCGTTTAACTAGCCTGGTAACCTGACCATGCACCTCCATACTCACACAGTCGAAAAACCATATCAGTGTATACAATATGGCAAGTCGCTTCACCAGCCTGGTAGTCTGACCATACACTCCCGCTCTCATAGATGTGAAAAGCCATATCACATTATACGATGTGGTAGGTCGTTTAACCAGCCCGGTAACCTGATCATGCACCTCCGCTCTTACACAGGTGAAAAGCCATATAAATAGACACAACGTTGCAAGTCGTTTGACAACTCTGGCCACCCGACCAAGCACCTCCGTATTCATACAGATGAAAAGCCATATCAGTGTACACAAAGTGGCAAGTCGTTTTAAAACTCTTGTTACCTCATTTCCCACCTCCGTACTTACACAGGTAAAATTCCATATCAGTGAACACAATGTGGCAATTTGTTTCGCCAGTCTGGTGATCTCAGCAGTCACCTCCGCACTCAAACAGATGAAAACCAAACTCAGAAGACCAAATGCAGGTTGTTTTACCGATCTTGCAATCCGACTAGGAACCTCGGTACTTATTTGAGTGATAGCTGTATCAGTGTACTCAGCCGAACCAGACCTTTAGTCAGGGTAATTAATTATTGTCCAATGAGTCGATAACGTAAACTAGCCACGGTAAAGAGTGTTAAAGCTGGCGTTTCGAGCGTTTGCCCTTCGTTGGAGCGATGACGAAGGGCTAACGCTCGAAACGTCAGCTTTAAAACTCTTTACGGTGACGAAGTTACGTTATCAACTAAGTTGATGATACTTAATTGCCCTGTTATACTCTCCCACCGACGCAGCACCGCAGTTTCTTTAGAAACTTACCCCCTTTATTCATTAGACCTTTAGTCAGTTTTTGGAAAGACAGAGTGTGTGCAATGTGTCATTGCGTTGAACTTGTTTGATTTTGCAATGCACCACCGTGCTAACACAACTGAAAGTCGTATCAATGTATGCAAAGACATACCATTCATATTCTTACATGTTAAGAAATGACCAGACTGAATAAATAGCTCTGGTTTTAAAAGGTGATTTTCTTCAAGAAAAAATTAAAAACAGATATGTAACGGGGACACTGCATAATTTTTATTTCATAATTTTTCCCATACGTCGACATACGATTTGTTATTTTTTAACTTTAACAAGTTTCGGACAAACAAACTTTAATGAAGGTGTTAATGTTATGAGCCTTTTATGTTGAACCTCATTGGAATGAAGAAAGAATCACCCCATTATAAAACATAGGCATGCGTAGCAGACAAGAGTTATTTTTTTTTCGGCTGGGTGGGTAGCGTTGGACACTTCGTATACCTAGTGTTTTCATTTTTGTAACAGAAAAAGAGCAGGACTTTCAAAAGAACTAAAATGTCGTATTACTTCACCTTAGGAGAAGGAAAAAAAATACTAATTCATTTAAACTCACACGGGTATTTTATGATCTATTGTCTAAATACTTTTGGGCGAAAATAAAATGCATCGGTACCACGCTTGCTGTTGCTCCTTCGTAGCCGTTGTTTGGTCACGTCACTCAACGCCATTTGTGTATATCCCAGTTGGAGATAGAGCACGTTGCATGACGAGACCAAAGAACAGTTGCGAAAGGGACTACGCTTCCTGCCGCTCTTCTTACAGAGAGAAAATCAAAATTATTCGTCTACAGTTTGTTCCCTCAAAAATGTATTTCCACCAAATTTTAATACGAAAAGCAAACTGAAACTCTGTTGTATTTCCAATAGACCCTAACTAAATATGTATTGCGACCTCGATAAGTGAAGATACATTGAACAAGGGAAAAGGATAATATTTCAAAGAGGGCTCCTAGATTGGTAGTTGCCTATATGGACTTAAGTCTAAGGTAGTTAAAAGCAAATTTGACTTGTAGAATAAGTAAAACGCGGGAGAATTGCGTGAAAACTTCACTATCAGAGGCATTTGGTCCCATGTGAATTTTTTCAGTGTGGTTGAACGATGCGGTAAGAAGACATGATAAAATGCAGGTTGTTTACAAGGAAATAAGTCTATTGTGGAAAAATGGAATTTAATTAGTGAAATACAATTCAAGCACGTGAAAAATTGCCTAACAGTTATCTAGTGCTATAATTTGGTACGTTCTGATTGGACTTTGGACGTTGTTTGCATGGTGCGTGATGGAATGTAAGTTGTTTGAAGTGTGTGTTGTGAGTAAAGGAGCAGAAAACACGTTTTAAACTTAAAATGATATAAAAAGTTAAATGCGAACCTTTCATATCCTGATAAATCTCGACCTTAATCCTTAATCGATGAGGCTCTCGCGAAGGCCACAAACCAGTACACTTATTAAATGAGCCCAGAATTTCAGGTTAATGTAATTTTTGCGCACACCCCCCTGATTCCATGACATCATTTACAAGAAAAAAACACCCGAACACTGTGATTGGTGCAAGATATCCAAATACTGTGATATGATTAATGCGAGATACATACCCTTATGCGGCAATCTGATTGATGCGAGATATATACCCTATAGGCCGAAACACCCAAACAGCTTGCTACACGAACAAGTAGGGCCGCACGCGAGAAAACTAGAAGGAGCTTTTAAAAAGGGCCCCGCTGAAAGAAGTGTGAAAACAGCAACTTCTCGGGTTAGTTTTTTTCCCTTTTATAAGCCTTCACCTAACACTGCAAAACTTGATTTAGATTTATTGACAAGTGAAATACTTGCGCGATTAGAGAGATGGTCTCTGATGCGTCTGAGAAACTCCACTATAAATAATAGATAGGCTTGATAACTGTGTTGCAAAGCTCGCCTTCCCGTCATGCACTCTAAGACGAGATGTCAAGATGGCGGCGGATGATCGTTCGGTGGTCTTGAGGATAAAACGTAAAAGAACAGAAGATCCTCTGGATGCACTGCGTGAGTTCATCTCCTACACGCTCTAATTAAGCTCTCTCTTGTCAAATCTTTGTCCACCTCGAGTGGTAATGAAATTTTCAATGGATGCTGTGTTTCTTACAAAAGGGCACACATTTCTTCAACCTTATTAAATCTAACCCGAAGTATTTTTGACAGTTGTCGCTCAGGTCTTAAAGAAACCCTATATTGCAAGGAAAGAAGACTGTGAAAAAGATGCTACGTATTTTAAGAACAATGAGTCAACATCTACTGATACCGGTATGTGGAATTCGACTTACATATGTTGTAATTTCTTCGTAAATAAAAAGCGATCCTTAAACCAAGCTTTTTTTTTGAGTCCTCATGAATTGACCCCACGTTGTGCATTGCTGGTAGACTGGCAACAAATCACCTTCCATCCAAAATTTTACTGGAACACGAGCTTAAGATTTGAATTCGGGAATGTGTAATATTTCTGAGGAAAATGTATCAGAGAGTCTTAGCTCTGAGCTGAAAATTAAAGTTAAATTCAAGAGATATTTTGCCTCTAGAGAAGATTGTGGAAAATGTTCTATCTTAAGAAAATATCCTATCTCTTCTTGTGTCTTCTCATCTTATCTCATAAACTGACCTGTAAGACTGAGACAGACGTTAGGAGGTAATAAGGTAAAATTTCCGCACAGCCCCGTACTATTGTAAAACAAATCTGTTTTCCCAAAGGCAATCTATTCTTTTTGTCATTGTTTTCTCTATCCAAGAACTGGATTTGGGGCTGTGCAGAGATTTTACCAGGAACAAGTATTATACTAGTGACCTAATTTGGTTGCAATAGGACATGGGTTAATCAAAGTCTTTGCAAGCATTAATTCTATTTTCCTATGTGGTGTGAGTTTCCCTCTAAATTTGACTTTTTTTTCAAAATTATCAGTTATGTTTAAAATGTAAAAATTCAAATTCATGGAAAGCACTTAATCATTAGGAAAACTGTCAACACAGCATCAATGTTGACAGCAAATTAAGAAGAACATCACTGAAGAACTGAAATTTTCATGAAATTTCCAAAATAAATGATGCTTTCAAGGAATTAACAGGACCTCTCAGGCAACAAACACAGCATATGATTTTTTATACATTACTGTTAACCTTAAGATTACAAGAATGTGCCTGTTTCTGACAATGAACTATTTATTGATTTCAGTTGAGCGAGTTTTCAAGTTTGTCGGGAGTGTACCTCAGGGAGATGAAACTAAAAGAAAAGATTTGCTGGTTAGTATCATACTGACTTGAGAAATCAGGGGGCTGGAATCATGCAGAATTTAGGTAGCCTTGAAAAATCTCTTTCCAGAAAATTGTTGAAAGAGTTTACTTTGAAAACTTCACTGAGTTAATTTTGTGTGTTATTCAGTTTTGTAGAACAAATTATTTGAAAATCAATCAATGTTTTGAAATTTATTTTTCATGACAGACTAAGATTAAACAGTCTATCAACCATGAAGACTTGGCTAAATCGCATATTCAAACTCAACAAGCTTTTCAAGACAGGTTGCGGAAACAAAAGAAGGTAGAATTTTTCTTTTTATTGTAAGTTTCTTTTTTGGTATAAGTTGGTTAAGTTTTTCTTGATTCTTTCTTTTGGGCCACCAATTGAATAATAACAGTATCCTTATCATCAGTTCCTCACTTTTTTCACCATGACAAGATGTGCTTTTTTTCCATTCATGTTGCAACCCTAAAGATTCTGTAATTTGCAAAGCTAGCAAAATATAGTTATGTTAACTGGATGTCAATTTCCTTTTGGAGGTGGGTCTAACTAGTCTGAGTCAATCTATTCAGAGGACGGGAACGTTATTCAACTGCTTAACACTACTCTCATCCACATCATTTCTCAACAAAAGTGGTGCATTTGTTCCCAGTTGAATCAAAGTTGTGTTTCCATGTATTTGTGTCATTGTGAAACAAATATTAAATGATCATCAGTCTGTAATTAGCATAACAACAAGATATGTTTCCCCAGCTTCTGAATCAGGAGGCCAGGTTTAAAGTAATTTCCTCAAACAGGGAGAATGACCATGGATCAACCAGGTATAGTACCTCTACTGTTGTATTACGTCACATTATTTCTATTCAGCTGTAGAAATCCAGATGTTGTTTTGCATTTGTTATGATTATAATCCTCTTGATCCAGTGTTAACCCTTTAACTCCCATGAGTGACCAAAACGGAGTTTCTCCTTACAATATCAATACAATACTAAGCAGATAAGTGATAAGAATAGAGAAAAATATCAATTTGGGGATAATTAGTTGATCCAATACTAAATTCTCTGAACTAACATTATAAGAATTGTATGGTTGACA